ACAGCTGTAGGGAAATGGCCAGGACAGGGGCTCTGAAGGCTCCAAGAAAATGCTTATCAGCTGGGCAGCATTAACGACGGGCTGCAACTCTCCCCCAACAGTGGCATGTGAAAGGGCAGCATATGCCCTATAGGAGGGAGTATGAAGGAAGAAGTTCAAATAAATAGTGGCAGACTTGGAACTTATCAGAGCATAGGCAATAAGAGATTGAGAAAAGTTTTTCTTAAGCTTATCTAGCACTGATATACTAGAAGGACACAGGAAACTTTTTCGGTTAATTCTGTTTCAGGCCATGACTGAAGACAGTGATTTATCCATGTATGCTGAAATTGAGGCACATGGTCTCAGCAGAGGTAAAATAAGCCTGCTTTTTCAATGAGGTAAGGCTGACCTTAAGCTATGGAAACTGAAGTTGCAAAGCAATCTCTGCACAACAATTATAATTCTAGTTGGCCTCCTTATCTTTGCCATCTTCTCAGTCAGGCACTACTTTTTAGGAAACCAAGTACTGATCGCATTAAAAAGGTAGAATTTATTATTCTCGGCCTCTGAATTGCAGACTGAATGTGTACCGACTGTACCATCATCAGCTACAAAGGGCATTCTCAGACTTGTGGTTGAAAACTGTTCAGTAATTCAACTGTGTTGATACAGTTGTAGAAGTTACATTTCATACTCGAGAAAATACTGGATTTCTATCCAACACTACTCCAATGTCCTCTGAAGACAGCAGTACTGACTTACTGGATCCAGAGGCACTTTATGAATAAAGGCTTCAATTGAGTCAACTGCTCATTTCCTCTTCCTTGTCTAAGGCTCTCTCCTTGATAGTGGAGAGTTAGGGCAAACTTCTGTATCACTCCAGTACATTTTTCAACTTGTGACTGGGAGGAAAAGAAGTGTTCCTGAGAACATGGAGAGTCAGTGCTGTATCCTTTACTGTCCTCAAGATTCAGTAATTTTATCTTGCTGAGACAAGCAGATTCTGATTTGTGTTTTACAGTGCACCGCTAAAGCACCATCAGTGTTGCCTAGATCAGTGATAAAGGGGCCAAGTTACTTAGGGTTCTCAATAAAAATGTTTTGCTTTCAAATAATGGTTTTGCTTTACTTTTCTTAAGTTCCCCTGCTTCAGCTGAATGTTGAGGGGAAAAGGAAATCAGCCTCCAGAAAACACATACTGTATTTCTATGAGGTAGTAAAAAGGAGTATGCATAGGGGAGCCCATCTCTTCTGCTCCTAGAAACAGGACTGCTGGATTACAGGTGGAATTTATTCTAATCAGTGCTCATTATAGAGTTGTTAGCTTTCTCCTGAATTCCTTGCACTTAATCCCAGACAGATGCTGAGAGGGTTTATGGAAATTAACACTTCTGCTTATTTTCACCTGTGTAGAAAGATACCTTCACTACTTCCTTCCCATGGAGAGAGACCAATTACATTAGCATTAAGAATGGGAAACAGTACACAATTGTTAACATGGTGATACAGTCAAATACCCAGTATAATATTTCTGGCTGTGTTTAAAGAACTGCTTTACATATGTACATGACTCACAAGCTGAATAGCATTCCAGTGGGAGCAAAACAAGCTGCCTGACAGTTTTTCCTGTAACCTGCACAGTGACCGCAGGTTCCTTTCTTCATCTACTTCTCAGTCTCCATTCTCCCACACTTCAAGTATCTGTGTTCTTTGGCAGTCTTGACAAAATTCCTATGCAAGTTTTGCTTCCCTGAAATTGTTCAATACATCATATTTCCCCCAAACATCTAGTATAATTTAGCTGCTATTGAATTTTGGAGGGGAAAATTTTCCTTCATTTAAAATAAAATCCAGCAAACTTCAGACAAGAAAATGCACTTTAAAGCACCGTTGTTTGCAGCAAGCGGAAACCACTCAGGCTTTAGAGATGCATTTTCTTTTGTCCTGCAAAATTCTATTCAAAATTACCCTATTTTAGTATGACTCTTCCTCTTTTCTGTGAGTGCCTTTAGAAAATGTTGACAGTCTGTCAAAATCTTTTACAAAATCAACACTGTAGTTAAATGTCATTCACTACTTTTTTTTTTTAATTAACCTCTTCTATCAAGACCTAGTTTAGCATCTCCCTGCTGGGCAGAGGTAAGGCTGGGGCTTCCTCAAGTCCAAAGGAAAGAAATAGCTTTATGCAACTGAACAGACAAGCCATAGAATCACCAAACACATCTTCTGAAGAGAAGAGATGGTCTATG